GTTCTTTGAGTACGTGTTGTGGGCTACATGGACGACTACTTTCTTCCCCTTTTGTTCTAACATTTGCTTCCCCAAATCCTCACCAGTAAGGATTTGGGATCAGTAGTTTTACAGTAGTAGTTTTAATAGATTCCACCTTGCTTCCCTTCCCTCTATCTAGAGAATGTCTAAGTCGATGGCGCCCAAGTTTCACTCCCTACCTGTACCTGACACTTGTGCATGTGTCTGTGCTGTAAAATGTAGTCTCACATTGTCACTACTTAGTTTTTTGTTGTTTTTTTTTTTAAATGCTATAAGGTGTATACACTTGTCAGAGAGAGACAAAGCAGTAAACTGAGAAATTACCCCTAGAGAGGATGGCCATGCCACAGTCCTGTCTCCTCCATTCTCCTCTCAGGATTTTGGGCACATGTGCTAATGTGCCTGACATGATTTTCAGGCTTCCAGGTCTGTGACTCAAACTACAGTTGACCATGTTGGAGTCCAGCACCTTAACCACCATGCCATCTGCTGGGCCCTGTTTGTTTGTTTGTTTTTGCCATACTGCATGTACACTTGCTAAAGAGAGAGAGAGTAAGCGAGAAAGTGAGAAATTTCCTCTCCAGGGAATGGCCAGACTGTAATTCCTTCTCTTCAGTTCTCCTCTTGGGATCTTGGGCATGCACACACATGTGCCCAGCATGATTTTCAAACCACCAGGTCTGCTGTGTGGGGGTCTAACTATAGTTGACCATGTGTGAGTCCAGCACCTTAACCACTACACTACCTGCTGGCCCCAGCCTTCCATTTTTTCTTTCTGAATTTGTCTGCTCTAAATACCTCATGTGAATGCAATTATACAGTCTCTGTTTTTTTGTGGGTTGCTTATTTCACTTAGTATAATGTCTTTAAGGTTCATCCATGTAGTAGCATGTGCCAAGAATTTTTTTTTTTTTTTTTGGAGAGGTTTTTGCTATAGGGCACATGTGCTCATCAGAAAGATAGAGAGAGAAGGGGCCCGCACTTGGTGCAGTGGTTAAGGCACTGGACTCCCACATGGCTGACTGTGGTTTCAGTCCCAGACCTGGCAGTTTGCTCTCTCACTTTCCCTCTCTCTCTGTCTTTCTCTGGTCAAAATAAAAATAATAATAATAAATAAAATTAAACAAATAATTTAAAAAAGAGAGAGAGACAGAAAGTGAGAAATCACCCCACAGAGGGGGATGGCCATGCCATAATCCCTTCTCTATTCTCCTCTCGGGATCTTGGGCATGCATGCACACGTATCTGGCGTGAGTTTAAGCCACCGGTTCTGGAACTCGAACCGTGGTTGACTACATGGGAGTCCAGCAATGTAGCCATTATGCCATCTGCTGGTCCCCAGGATTTCCTTTTAAGGGTGAATAATGTTGTATTGTTTATAACACATTTTGTTCATTCATCTGTCAGTGAATACTTGAGTTGTTTCCATATATTGACTGTTGTGAATATTACTGTGAACATGGGTGTACAAATATCTTTTTGTTTGTCTGCTTTCAGTTTGTTTCCAGAAATGAAATTGCTGGATCATATGTTGACACTATTTAAGTTCCTTCTTTAATTTTTTTTTTTTTTAAGGTTTTTGCTATAGGGCATGTGCGTTTATTGAAGCGAGACAGGGAAAGATAGTGAGAGAGGGAAAGTGAGAAATTACCCACTCCCCTCAGGGCATGGGAGTAATGGTCATGCAACTTTCCCTTTTCCATTCTCCTGGGATTTTGAGCACACATGGCAATGAACTGGTATGATTTTCAAGCCTCTAGGTCTGGGACTCGAATCATGGTTGGGCGTGTGGGAGTCCAGTGCCTTAACTAACATGCCACCTGCTGGCCCTATGTGTTTAATTTTTCAAGGAACCACGTTGCTATTTTCCATAGCAGGTGCACTGTTTTACATTCCCACCAGCAGTACACAATTTCTAATTTTTCCACATACTTGCCAAGTTATATTGTTTTGTTTCATATATATTCTATAAAATAGCCATCTAAATGAATGTGAGGTGATATTCAGTTATGATTTGCATTTCTCTGATGGATTATTGATGCTGTGTATCTTTTTATATGCCAACAGGCCATTTTTATGTCTTTACAGAAATGTCCATTCAAGTCTTTTGTCTATTTTTTAATTGTTTTCTATTTTATTGTTGAGGTTAGAAATTCTTTGTGTGTTCTAGATACTAATCTCTAACTAGATATGTGATTTGCAAATGTTTTCTCCCATTCTCTGGGTTAGCTTTTTTTTCTGTTGATTGTGTCATTTGCTGTACAAGTTTTTCATTTTGATAAAATCTGATTCGTTTGTTTTTTTCCTTTCTTGCCTGTGTCTTTCATGTCTTATTCAAGGAATCATTGATGAATTTGATGTCATAAGACTTTTCTCCTGTGTTCTTATAAATGTTTTATAGTTTTAGCTCTTCGATTATCTAAGTATTTATTTAGTGATTTGCCAGAATGACATTTGCATTTGCTGGAGACAGAGAGAGAAAGAAAGTGAGAAAACATACATCCTGTGTGGGACACTGTCATGCCAGAATCCCTTTTTCTCCATTTCCCACTTCTTTCTTCTCTCTCTCTCTCTCTTTTTTTTTTTTTTCTTTTTGAGAGGTTTTTGCTGTAGGGCACGTGCACTCTCAAAAAGACAGAGAGAGACAGAGAGACAGAAAGCGAAACATCACCCCCTGGGGGGATGGCCACGCCACAATCCCTTCTCCTCCATTCTCCTCTCGGGATATTGGGCATGCATGCACACACACCCAGCATGAGTTTAAGCCACTGGGTCTGGGACTCAAACTGTGGTTGACTACATGGGAGTCCAGCAACATAGTCATTATGCTAACTGCTGGTTCCGAGATGTTGAACATTTTTCATATACTTTTCAATCATCTGTATGTCTTCCTCTGAAGGTTTAGATCAAATACCTGTTTTGATTGGGATATTAAGGTGGTTTTCTTTGTTGTGTTTTAATTTTCATTAATCAGTAAGTATTTTCTTTTTTTTGGAGAGGTTTTTGCTATAGGACGCGTGTGCTCGCCAGACAGACAGAGAGAGACAGAGAGACAGAAAGCGAGAAATCACCCCCCAGGGGGAGATGGCCACACCACAGTCCCTTCCCTTCCATTCTCCTCTTGGGATCTTGGGCACGCACGCACATGCACCCGGTGTGAGTTTTAAGCCACCGGGTCCAGGACGCGAACTGCGGTTGACTATGTGGGAGTCCAGTGATATAGCCATTACGCTAACTGCTGGTCCCAGTAAGTATTTTCTGTTTCTCTATTCTCTTGTGATTTCTTTGCCCCATTGGTTTTATTTGTTCATTTAATCTGTTTCTTCCAAGGAAGAGATATTGACAGACAGGCACCAAACAGGGCCTTCATGTCATGGTCCACCCCCTTCCCCAAAGTAGTTTAGTCCAGATCAAAGGCATGCAAATGTGCATCCAGCGCATTCAGGGAGGTCCTAGGACATGAACTCAGGACCTTTCCTGTGGGTTCAGTCACATTACCAGTGTGCCACTACCTGGCCTTTCATTCATTGCATATAAGATTGTTTAATTTGGGGACCAGCAGATGGTGTAACAGTTATGTCACTGGACTCCCACATAGTTAACCACAGTTTGAGTCCCAGACCCGGTGGCTTGAAACTCACACCTGGCACGTGTTCGTTTGTGCCCAAGATCTCAAGAGATTAGAGAAGGGATTGCAGCGTGGTCATTCCCTCTGAGGGGCATGGTTTCTTGTTTTCTGTCTCTGTCTCTCTGGCAAGCATACATGACCTATAGCAAAAATTTCTCTAAAAAGAAAAGGTTGTGTTTTAATTTCTACAGATTTGTAAATTTTCAAGTTTTTCTTCTGTTACTGATTTCCACCTTTATCCTGTGATTGGAGAAGATTCTTTCTATGATGTTTGTTTTAAATCTAATGAGGTTTAAGTTATGGGCTAACACTGTTTACCCTGGATAATGTCCCAAGGGTGTTTGAAAATAATGTATCTTCTGTTGTTGGATAGCATGTTTTCTGTATGTTAGGTCTAGTTGGCTTGTGTTAGTATCTCTTTCCTTACTTACATTCTTTTTGGTTATTCTGTTCATTATTAAGAATGGGATATTGATGTCTCCCTCTGTTTTTTTTTGTTGTTGTTGTTGGCTTTTTTTTTTTGAGAGTTTTTTTTTTTTTTTTTTTTTTCTAGGGGCTGCTTCCTTG